CTTTCTAAGGGCCTGGCTCAAGCCCACTTGGAATCAACAGGGATTTGCTGAGTGACAGTGGGGAGCTTTGGATCTGGCCCTGAAATGTCTACAAGCTTGCAGAAAGTGCCAACATGATTTTCACAGCATCAGAGGGTGTGGGGAGGCTGAAGTAGAAATTCTGGCATTGACAGGTGCCGCAGTGGCTCAGGCAGGTGGTAGCCTGGTGGTGACAGGATGCAGGGAGCGGCACTGTTGTCCATATGCCTCTTGGCAGGGATGAAACAGGGTGCTGACAGGGGCCCTTGCTAGGACTTGATGGCTGAGTCAGGGCTCTGCAAGAACCTCTCCCTGTCTCCTCCTCCCACAGACCCACCTGTCCATTGCTTTGTGCGTCAGACAAAGCATTAGGCTTCGTGTGGAGAAACCCACGCGAGCCATCCAGCTGTCCATGTGCGCTGGAGAAGCATTCCTACTCCAAAACACGTATCAGGGAGTAGAGCTGAGTAGGTGGGAAATTGCAGAAGTGTTATTTGCACCCCACCCCCATCTTTCTTGGTGAAGCTGGCAAATTTGTGGCTTTTGTGGAAGTTGGAAAGGAGGCCATTCACCTTTACATGGCCAAGCTGAGAAATACAAGCCTGACGATACAGGCCTGTGCAGGGAAATGGCTGTACACGGTGCTTTTGGCAGGGGAAAGATTGCTACACCAGTTGCGCACTCGCTGCAGTCAGACACAGGGTCTCTGTGTGGAAGTTCACTGAGGTGAGGATGGTCTCTGCCCAAGGGCCCACCTGAGGGGACAGCAGTGGCCAATATGATGTAGGATCTCAGCTCTAACAGTCGGTCTGGATTCAGAGGCCATGCTCCCTGACAGCCCAGCTGTGCTAAGGAACATGGAGGTCAGGGAGGTGATTTGAAACAGCCAGCAGGGCTTCACCAAGGGCAAGCCCCACTTAATCAACTTAGTGGCCTTCTATGATGGAGTGACTACATCAGTGGACAACAGAAAGGCTAAAGGTGTCATTTATCTGGACTTCTTTAAGGCCTTTGGCACAGTCCATTCACAGCATTCTTCTCTCTGAATTGGAGATAATGAATTTAATGGGTAGATTGTTCAGTGGATGAGGAATTGGCTGGCTGGTCATATCCAAAGGGGAGTGGTCAACAGCTGAATGTCCTGATGGAGGTTGGTGAAAAGTGGTGTCCCTCAGCGTCTGCATTGGGACTAGATTGTTTAATATCTTCATCAGTGACATAGACAGTGGGACCCAAGTGCACTCTTAGCAAATTCAACAAGGCCAAGTGCAAGGTCACGCACCTGGGTTGGGGCAACCCTCAGTATCAATACTGGCTGCAGGATGAAGGGATTCAGAGCAGCCCTTCCAAGAAGGACTTAGGGGTGCTGGTGAATCAGAGGCTGGACACGAGCCGGCAATGTGTCCTTGCAGCCTGGAAAACCAATTGTATCCTGGGCTGCATCAGAAGCAGTGTGGCCAGCAGGTCAAGGGGAGATTATTCTGCCTTTCTACTCTGCCCTCATGAGATGCCCGTGGAGTGCTGCGTCCAGTTCTGGAGTCTTAAGTACAGGAAAGTTGTGGACCTGTTGGAGTGGGTCAGAAGAGGGCCACAAAAATGATCAGAGGGCTGGAAGGCATCTCCTATGAAGACAGGCTGAGAGAATTAAGGTTGTTCAGCCTGGAGAAGGCTCCAAGGAGACCTTATTGCAGCCATTCAGTACTTAAAAGGGGCTTATAAGAAAGATGGTGACAAACTTTTTAGCAGGGCCCCTGTTGCAATAGGACAAGGGGTATCGATTTTAAAATAAAGGAATGTAGATTCAGACTAGATATTAGGATGACATTTTTTACAAATTATGGTGAAACACTGGAACAGGTTGCCCAGAGAGGTGATAGATGCCCAATGGCTGGAAGGATTCAGGGTCAGGTTGGATGTGACTCTGAACAACCTGATGTAGTTGAAGATGCCACTGCTCATTGCAAAGGTTGGACTAAATGACCTTTAAAGGTCCCTTCCAACCCAAACTAATCTATGATTCTATGAAATAGATTTATTTCAGAAGCATTGTAATACAGCCTTGGTTCAGTAAGGGGAATACAGGTAACAGTGGCAATAGAAAAACATACTAGGCAATCAGGAGAAGAGGTCTCCCTCCTGTTGGCTGTGGCAGTGCTTCCCAGGATGCCATTGTAGGGCAAGGGTGGGTGAGACACTGGGCTGGCACTGCACACACCAGCAGAGTTTCTGCTCAGTGAAGGGGCTGGGGGAGCCAAACTGAATCTGACCTGCCAGCAAAGAGCTCACAGCTGCAGTACGTGGGGTAGGGTAGGCAGCCTAACTACGCAGAAGGAGGAGAGCAGGTTCAAACCATCCCACAACTGCTCTCATTTGCTTTAAGTGCTTTGTCATGAAGGGTTGCTAGCAAGGGCCTAGGTCAATGGAAAAACAAAGTCGAAGTTGCAAGGGGGCTGGCCTGAGAATAAGAGTGAAGGATGGAGGAGAGCGTGCAGTGGGGCTGGAGTCAAGGGCTGCAATGTATAACAGTAATAGAGTCCAGCAGAGACTGCTGCTGCACCTGTAGGTGGTCAGGGCTCCTGCCTATTTGAAAGGAAAGCAAGACAAGAGGCTGGGAGGGGATGCAGAGAATTTGCAAGAGAGCTTTTCCAGAGGCTCTGATTAATTGTTTGGCTCCACAACAAATTTAAGCAATCTCCACCTCAGGCATAACAAAGGAGAAATCACAGGGTGGGGAGCTGCAGCAGGGCTGGGCAGAAACAATTAAGCCAGCTGCCATCAGAGAAAACTGGCTGAACTACCATAGGATAATGGTGGTGCCAGTACAGTACAAACTGCCGGTCACCAGTGGGTCAGAGATTTGGGGGAATGGTGACACCCTCTCCTCGGGGCTGCAGTGCAGGAGCAAGGGCAGGTGCAGAGAATGTATAGGAGCAGTTCTGAGCAGCCCCAGACAGCTTGGGAAGACAGAGGAAGTTGGAAACCAAGAAAAGCAGCTTGGCTTTTCCCTGTAGAAAGGGTTAAGTATCACCCTGCTAAACACAGCTGCCTCCCCTGCCCAGGCCACAAAGTGTAGCAGTGGGAAGTTGACTTGGAGAAACAAATCACTAAAGCTGCCATTTCATCAGAATGCCATCTACTAGGAATAAAGAGGGCACTGATAGTGTCAGGGACTTCTCCTTGGCAGTAAACAGAAGTCAGGGGATATTTCAGATAAAGGAGAGTGTCCATAATTAGGATTGCACACTGTGTGAGAAGAAATATTGCAGCCAAACACATCAACCACAACTGGTCTTCCCTGCTGAGCCAATCAGTGACTTAGCACTAGTGAAGCCTTGGATCAGCTCTGGCTTTTTGATTTACAGCTGCCCTTGGTGTAAATTGGACAGGGATTGGCACATTTGTTCCCCAACCTATCTGGCTGCCAGGACACAGCAGCAACAGGGCAGTGTTGCCAGACTGCACCTTACCCAGTCCTGCTACTACACAGGAATCATTAAACCAACCTAAACTCATTTACAGCATGGCCACACACATAGTTGTGCTGGCCTACAAAGGATGACCATTTCTTCATTGAGACTTTGCCTACTTATCCAGGCTGAAAAGAACAACAGACACAGAACTCATGTTCTAGAAAAAGCTAACTGCTGGAATGAAACCCAGTGTTTGAAAACTTGTAAGCAGGAAAACCACCCCCCACCATATAGAGAGCTGCTTTCATATCCCCATTTGTGGTTTTGCAGGCCTTTGCTTTAGCATAGGCCAAGAAAAAATAACCCCTTCTCCCATTTGAGGAAAACATATCTACGTTAAGGTGTTTTGCAGGTTTACTGGCATTCAGCATGGGGCTATTTCAATTTAATTACTAAAAGTGGTGAGACATGATCAAGTATAATTATTAACTGATCTCCATTCATACTCAGTATATGGTATGTGATTCACAGCACATCCTGGATGAAAGACCATAGCTCAAGTCTCAAGTTGTTCCATGAAACACAGTTCTAGAACAGAAGTAGCTGTGTCTCCACACTCTGAAACCACCATCACACTTGTGCCCCTCAGGATGACTGGAGGGGGATCCAGTGAGGTACAGCCTGAGCATCCACCTTCCTGACCCTAAGAGAGCAGCTTCATAAGTCTGTAGAGAGAACAATACACACTAATACACAGTTTTGTGTATACTTTTTCCTCAAGCTTGCTGGTGGACACATTCAGAAGACTAGCAGCAATTTCTTTTCACAACAGCGATTAAAAAGGAAAATGTGCTGCGAAGGCAGGAAAGATCAGGAGTTTGCCAGCAGAAGAGAATAGATAAATGACAGGGCTCAGCTCAGGCCCTCATGCAGGGACAGAGCTGACTCTAGGTATTTTCTCCCTCCTATTGCTTGCACCTGCTCCCTGTTAGGATTTCACTAGTCACAGATAAACCAGCCAAGCCACCCAAACCCACTTACAGCATGGACACAGACAGAGCTGTGCCAGCACCTGTAAGAAGTGTCATACAACAGCATGAAGAAAACAGCACTGAGTGCAATCTCTGTCCTAAGGATACCTGTTCTTTCTTATGCTGCTTGGAAGAGTAGTTCCATTACACAAAAACAATGAGGCTAATCCATTTGTACTAGCGTAGGGAAAAAAGAAAAGTAATTCTAGTAAGGTCAGTGGTGAGAAGTGACCCAAACCAGGAAACACACAAAACAATATAGCTACGGTCTTGCACCGCATGCACCTCTTCCACCTTCAGGTTCCCCTGCCTGCAACAGCATAGTCCTCCCACAAACACATACTGCCATGCACTTGAGAGTTACCAGTGTATCTCCACTGGAGTATGGACAACAGAATTAGGGCATCAATGCTCTAGATGGGAATGAAGGGTGTGCAGGAGCTATGTGCACTTTGGATGTAGAGTCCCTACTTGAAAAAGTTTCGCAAGTTCCTACTGAACATCTCACTAGCATTCACATATAGACTCTCACTTCACTGAGAAAGGTTGAAGTGTTTGCCTTTTATTCAGAAAACTTGCTCCATTTCCAGTAATACTTTCCCATGTCCTTGAAACCAGATAGCCTCTAGTCTCAGAACAGCACCATCAGTCAAGCACAAAAAAAGCAGAACAAATCAAAACCAAAAAAGTTCCATGATGTGATATAGCATAAACACATACAGCTAATACATTAGAGAAATAAACATCTACATTAAGTTATGTAAGTTGCTATAAAACTGGCAGTATGCAATTAAAAGATCAGCAAGATTACCAGGTCTGCTAGATGTTTAAAGCAAGCCTACATAGGCTGTATCTATATTCTCATGCTGATTTTAGGCATGACTTTGCACTCAGGATCTAGCTACCTTTCATACAACTTCCTCTACAGCCATCAGTGTGTATGCAAGCATCTCAAACTACCTGGCCAGACTCAAGCAGCACTTGCAAAGCTGTAAAGATGTACCCTATTGCTGTCTCCTCCATATGAACATGGTGTTACAGGGTTCCTCTGCATATGCCTGGTTGAGAAACAAAACACAATCAGTTGCATACTATAACACCTTAAGTAACATGGAATCTTAGATTTTAGAAAAATATTTTAATTGTCAGTTCACAAGTAAAAACTATCACTATTACAAAACATCTTTTAATACTAGAATACCTAGCTTGGAACGAATTTTGTTCTTATTGCTGTTGCATTTAGTTTTCACGGGTCAGCATGAAGGTAAGTGGTGGGCTTCCCACTTGTCAGTCAGCTTGTAAGGGTACTCATAGGAAAGTGTACTTTCCTATTTAATCCTCACGGAATTTTCACATGTTTAGGCTTCCCTGACTTTTTCCAGACATTTACATACTTTACATCTGATACTACACAAAGTCTCACCCAACTGTGTTTCATGTAACAAATTTCATTTGCAGCCTCTAAATAAAACATTCACTCCAAAAAGAGTGAGCATCAGCACTGACACCACCTTAGCTACTTGAAAACCCTATAACTGTGTTCTGACAGCTATCAGATATCAACTCATTCATTTCGTTTTGTTTGGTTTCTTCCTTATTCTCATGGTTGGGTTGCTGTTTTGAATTTCCAGCTTTCTTAGACCTTCTGAGGAAAAACTTTGTCAGTAAGTAACATAATTCAGCCACATTTAACAGAATGCAAATGCTGGACACAGCGATCATGAAAATAGTAAACACTGTCTTTTCAGTAGGTCGAGAGACAAAGCAGTCTACCGTGTTGGGGCAGGGCCAAGCACTGCACTTCATCAAGCGAGGCATTCGGAACCCATCATACATGAAATAAAACGCATACATGAAGACAGCCTCAAAGATCAGTCTGAAAAAGATGCTGCTGGTGTACGTCCACCACAAGGAGCCCTCAATACGAAACCTCTGTCTTCGGATTTCTTCAATGTCCTTGTATTCGCATTTCTGGTCTCCCTTTCTGAACTGCCTTTTCTTCTCGTGCCTCCTGTAGGCCACGTGCATGGCCACCAGCAGCGCAGGTGTGGAGACAAAGATCAGCTGCAGGGCCCAGAGTCTGATGTGAGAGATGGGGAAAAAGTGGTCATAGCACACATTTCTGCAGCCAGGCTGAAGTGTGTTGCAGACAAAGTCATCTTGTTCATCTCCCCAGACTCTCTCTGCAGCCACAACCAGGATCATGATACGGAAGATGAACAGGACTGTGAGCCATATCTTCCCAATACTGGTGGAGTGCTTATTTACACCTCCCAAAATGGTATGCAGAGCTCCCCAATCCATTGTCTTGTTTCAATCCTCTGGCCTAAGACAAGACAAATAAACAAAACTAAGATTAATCAAGACAGGAAACAAATACCATCAAGCACGTAGTTTAAAATAAAAGCAATATCATAATTGTACCATACCCATGTGGTAACATTTTGATGCAGTAGGCTTGCCTACAACTAGTCATAAATAATAATCTAATCACATATCAGCAGGTAATAATTCATTACTTGATTATACACATGGCACCACATTCATTTGACTTCTAGGTGTATTAGTCAATGCCACATTAAGTAGGAAAAGCAGATGGGAACCTTATGAACACCGCCTTAAATCAAAATATACAACTCCTAGCAGCTGGATAACAGTTACAAAATAACAGAAGATATCAGCCAGAAGTAAGGTAGATGTTATGTTAAAAAGTAACGTGTTAGACAGATATAATTCCCATATAGATCAAGGCAGATTGGTCTATCCTTAGCTTAGAGTGTAAATAATGTTCAGATGAGTACATTCCAGCAATAAAGACAGACCTTGAGTAACTCCTGCTGATACTCTGCACCTTCCATGAGGTCTAGATAACCTGCATTCATCAATCTAAAAAATGTGACTGTATTCTTAGTTGAAGCAAATTCCACAATAGCTTGAGGCCATGAAGGTAAAGTCTTGGTCATTATCCATCTTGAGTTGGATGTTTAAAATCAATGCTTAAAAAGATTCATACCAAAATTGCTTTCTCTCCACTAACTACAAAAAGGGCATAGGGTAACTAGACAAAGACTCCTTCATTGTCAATGCCTGTCAGGTTATTTTCTCCCCCCGCCCCCTCTTAACACAGACTGCATTACTCCTAGATTAGCAAAGACATTTCAGAGGCTGGTAGAGTACTAAAATCAACATTTGAAGAGTTCAGACAGGTCAGCAGTAGCTCAGAGACTTTTCAACAGAAGCATATAGATTACAGTGGGTGAGTTTCAAAGTACTATGACTGTAATTCACAGCGACCATTCAGAGGCATTTCATTTCAGCCCACCTCCCCTGCTCTGCATCAGATGGATTTACAGAAAGTTAGTTTGCAAGTACTCAGTATTCAAGAATCAGCCAGGACCCTCAGGAGTGCTCACAGATCTCTTGGCTCTGAAATTCCTCATGAAGGTTTTTATTTCACAGCTTCATTAATTTGTTTGCATCTCAGAGACCATATTTCTTTGGCATTTACAGCACAAGGCACCAATAAGCAAAATCACGTTTTCTAAGTTTCTAGAACAGAGCAGCTACTGGCACAAAAGGCCACCATATCTATCACAAGATGATCGCATTGCGTGAGGAAGAAAATTATGACACTTCTTGCAGTTGTCTTCCATGTCACACTCCCTTCTGAGTAATGTCAAAAGCCTTCCTGGTTTACAGTGAGTTTATATATCATGAGTAGGTCATATACAATTATACAGAGCATCAGTCAAAGTACACAACAGCCCAGAGAAAATGAGGGCACTTAATTGTTACATTAGGTAATGCAACAGTATCTTTTCCTTGAGTTACTGGAATAAAAGTGTGATCTCCCTTCACAAGTTCCATAAACTACATTTTCCTCAGATCCTGCTGGTTGTCCATGTGGCATTATACTCCAGGACATAAAAACTAGTTGTTCTATCTTCTTCTCCCTGCCTGTCAACCACATTCTTACAGTGTGAAAAGGCTGGGAAGTGGAACCTGCATATTCCCTCCTCATAAGCCCTGTTTCTTAGCTTCACCTCTCACCGCACATCCAGTACTGCTCCCCTTTTGTTACAACTTCACATGAATTTGTTTCCTCCTTCCTGTCTCCCTGTGCAGAAGGAGGTTCAAAATACGAGTGCCCCAGTGTGTAGTTAGTTAGCTCAAGAAACTTCTCTACCCCTGTTTGCTCCTGAGGTCACACTGCAGTTCATCTCCTGTGACTCTGTGAAGGTGCATTATAAACCAGGTGACTTAAGTTCAGAAGTTATTCCCAGGACTAGTACGTTTTGCTTGGTTTTTAAACCTGATCCATTTCACTAACCTGCTCTACAGCACAGACCCACAGAGCATCTGAAAAGGCAGCTTTGTTAAAAAAAACAGGCTGCAAATTGTAACGCAGGATGAGCAGTCAGTGGGGAAGAGGGGTTGGCAAAGCTTTAGTGCTGAGGACAATACACACTTTTCATCTGACTTGCTCCATCTCCTTTGAGAGTACATTGTGCTTGTTAAGCCAAAACACTGTGCTTCAATTCTAACAGGCATGTCCTCGTCTGTATCAATGAAGAGAAAGCCACCACACTTTGAAGAAACAGCCTTTTGCCCTGAGTCTCCTAGTGAGATTTCCCCTCCCTTCCAAAGAAAGCCTTTGTCTTTCACCTCTGCCCAAACAGTCGCCCCTTCACCCTTCCCACACACCTTTTCAAATCTTCCAGCTATCTCTTCAGCTCCTCCTGCCACCATCCACTATTCTTCCCGCTGCTTGCCGAGCTAGTCACCAACCTTTGCCCCTTCTTGCTTATGACCTCTCAGGCTTGTTTTGACACTGGTGGAGAGTCATGTGACTTCTGGAAACACTCCAGAGTGCTACAGGCACTGATCAGATACCAGTGAAGTCTCACTATCTGCTCCCTGAAGGGTGGCACAATTATAATTGTAGGGCTGTATTCAGGCAGCCTGAATTCAACCAACAGTGTTTCCTACCAGCTGGCTTTAAACAGTTCTCCTCAATGCAACTTAGAGGATTCCAACAAAAGTAATTCAGAGACTGCCAAAGTGTCCACCTCTCTCCAATAAAAAGACACAGTGATCCAAGCAGAATTTAAGTTAACCAAGTATGGCCCTCCAAACTATTAACCCCTCAGTGCAGATCACTCCAGCTAAACATCCCATCTGGACTATCTGTACTGATGTGATGGCTCATTTACTCCTAACTAACTCAAAAGCTAGGACGTGGATCAAAGGTTATCTTTCTTCCAGGTACTTGTATTATTTTTTACTAGCAAGTAAAATGTTAACTGCCTTGCTGACCAAAGGAGAAGAAAGCAGGAAAATTACATCTCTTTAAGGGGTTGATAACTCTTATTTTTATAGAGCCAGTCCAGATAATATTTCTATGGGAGCAAATCCTGCCAAATGCCTACAGAAATAACAGTATGCAGACAGTCAAGGACTTACTCAGTTGCTGTTCTTAGACGTACAGCACAGTACAAGAATACATTTAAGATATGAAAGCTTAGGTGAATTTTTGGAGAAAAAATGTAAAGTAGGAATGAGGACAGGGATTGGTTATAAAGAAAGAAGCTGGGAAAACAGGAGATACTTGAACTTAGTGAGGTTGAGTAACTAAGCATTTAGAATCCTTTCTAACATGGGAGTATATTAAGTGTTAAATTTTCCTTCAAAAAATTGCAACTGGGCATGAAAATAAAGCCTTTCCAAGCCTCAGCACAGATCCTTGTTCTACTACCAGTGGCACCTTCTGTTTTATTTCAACAACTAGAGGACCACAGAAGTATATGGCTGTTACAGTAGGAGTTAAAAACACCCAAAGAAGATCACCATGCTCCACTGAAAAGTTAAGTTACACGGGAAGTGGTTCTATACAATCACACAACAGTCACATAAGTAGGTGTTTCGTTTGGGGTTTTATTTTGTTGTTAGTTTGGTTTTTTCCAGCTTAATAGCTTAACTATTTCTGTAGTTCTACAGCTTCTGGGCAGTATTTTGAGCTGTGTGCTGCCATGGCTAGACTGCCTTCTACTTTAAAGCTAGCTCCTGTAAGCCTATATTAAACCACAATCACAGCAAGCTGAATACACCCAGTGAAAATCCCTGCAATTCACAAAACAGAGGACAATTATCACTGAGCTCCCATGTTTATGAGTACAGCTAGCTTGTTAACAGACACTTCCCACCCCCACCCCCCTTAAAGACTGTTATACTAGGAAATCATTAGTCAGTGGCTAAATCCACAACTAGAATACAGGGAAAGTAAAAAAACCAACACAAGATACATCTCTTTCACATACACATATGGTGCTGGCTGCTACAGGATATTATCAAGCAAAAAAATTAGTAATTAGCAAGTATTACAATATTTGGTTATGCTGTAGGAATATCCAGGAGTCCCGTTAAAGAAGAGGTCTGCAGAATCCTTATGCATAAATTTAGAGCACAAGTATACTCTTCTCCCCACAGCTACAATTTGGATACCAATTTACTTACTTTACTGGATTTACACAGAAACTTAGTGGGTGTTCAGAATGACTCCACTTCTATCAGAATTTTAGTGCAGAGTGTACCAGGAGTTACCAGTTTGGTGTGACATTCCACCCCTTTCGGCAGCCCCTCCAGATGCTGATAGAAGATCAGCAATCTGCCAAATCAAAAGTCACTTTGTCCCATGTGGGAATGTGTTAACCAAGACAGTCTTTAAGCAAAAAAGCACTGGTCTCAAGTGTCACTTGCCAGCCCCCAAGATGGGGACAAAGATAACTCAGATGCCTAAGAGTGGCAGTTCTAATACAGAATTTTTGCCATAGAAAACATTTAGAATATCTAAACTATCAGAGGCAAAATCATTACCAAATTTATTTTATGACCCAATTTGAAACAAGAAGTATTGCTGCACGCTGAGGTCCAGCACGCATTCAAAAATGCTTCTGAGACAGCATTTCCTTCAGGTCTTGATCTCAACAGTCACACTGGGAGCACTGACTCATACAGGGACTGATAACCAGCATCAAGGTGTCCTAGAGCTGTATATGCTGTTTCATTACCCAGATTTGGATTTCAGTAGTTTTGCAGCAGCATACCTCCACCCTGCCAACCTGGCATCTAGTTTACAGCAAGTACTTAAATGTTAGGGTATAGAATTTGTTATTCTGATTACTGAGTTAGTTTTGGTGCTATCCCACAAGAACAGCAGCATTGCCAAGACCAAAGCAAGGAAGCTTCTAATAAATACAGATTAACATCTTCCAAAGGCGGCATCTTTTTTTTCCATCAAGACAGGCTGGTACACAGGCTACAGCAGCTACTTGTTAACTTGCTCAGACTTCCTAACTAATCTGTCAGTCTGCCCCATGCCTCAGTTTCCCAGACATTAAACTAGCAATAACAATCTCACCATCTCACAGGGCTGTTCTGAAATGCTCCACTACAATTACAAGCTTTACAGGCTCAGTGGACCAAGAAAGATAAGTACCATCTCAAAGCTGGAAGCACAGAGCTTGAATTCAATCATCCAGGATATTTCTGATACCTGGAAAAGAATGCAACTCCCTGCATTGCTGTAGCTTTAATGCAGAGTTCAAAATGCAGACAAAGCTTTGAACTTTGACTTTGGCAACCAAAATCCTTTAATAGGCAGCTTGCAGGTATTCTAATTTTACAGCAGTGTATATAAAAACTTCAAGAAGCATGCAGCTGGAAGGCTCTGAAATATCAACAACTTTACTTCTTTCCTAAAAAGCTGAATAAAGATCAAAAGAGAAGTCTAACAATCACAAAAGCCTGTGCAATTCTCTCTAGTAGCTCTTAAACTTTGTTCTGAACACCTATCTCCAGATCAGAGTGGAAACTGCAGAGCAGAAGAGCTGTGACAGAGGGATTATAGTATATCTGATTTGACACAAGAACAGGCAAAGACTAATCAGGAACAGGAAACCTGACAGTTGCAGGCCTGAACACTGCAAGCATTGTTCTGTCATTCTACTCAAGTTTATGGAAACAGGAGGCATTCTTTGCCCTACTTAAATTCAGTGTGAAACCCAGAGAAACCCAACAGACTAGGACCCAATATGTATGTAGTTAAATGTTATAAAAAAAATTGCATTAGTTAAATATCAACACCATTAAGGGTTCAGTTCTACCCACAATAAGCCCCTGATGACTGTCCCATATTCATGCCCTCACATAAGTTTTAAGCCATTTTCCAAGAATGCTGGGAAATATCCATAGCTATTTCAATAGCCTGCAACTGTAACTGTAACTGTTCCAGAACATCCCTGCACAACATTCATTCCACTGGTACAAAACAGGAAATCAGAAGTGTCAGTCTCACTTGAAGGCATAACAAGACAGCACAAGTCCTATTAGAATTTAGCCCATCTCAGCCATTTTCCCCTGTAAATCTTTCCTTCAAAATGTGCTTAAAGCTTTTTGCTTTGACGAAAACCAAATTCCCATGGACTGTGTCTTCACTGATACAAGTGTCCTATTTCCCAAATTTTAAAGAAAGTTTTAGGGATACTGTACCCTGCTCCCAGTCATCAAAAGACCTTTTTAGTTATGACACTTATGTTGCTTTTTAATTTTTTTAAAGCCTGTTACTTAATTCCTATTTCCTTTCCCCTACACCTAGGCAAAGGTCTACATCCCCTCTACAAATCTGCCCACTCCTGCTTCAAATGTAACATTTCCTATAAAACTGGCAAGCCACTATCTTCTTTCACGCATGCAGAGAACTTGCACCCTTTCAGAAACACTAATTGAATTTATAAACATTAAGATTTTATACTGCAGTGTAGCTTCTCCTCGAGCATGTATTTTGTTATTTCATTCATCAAAAGACTAAAACAACTTTTTCCTTTTTAAAAGTCTATTACAGGAAGAAATGCTGGTAGGAGATAAGGAATAAAATTAGTTTTCAACATTCTTTTATCAACTAATAGGAGATGTGTTTCTCTTTTTCCACATTCCTTCTGTTTTGAGAGCATGTTATCTTGCCTCATATATCATCACTTCAAGCTTTTCCTTACACAAACTGGTGTTTAGCCAGGCAAGAGTCACAGTTCTCCTTTCAGATAACTCATCAGTCATCATTAAGTAACAATTAAAAGCAGTGAGGAACAGAACAAGAAAAAACATCAAAATTAGATTCGACCCATGTTTCTGTTTCATGCAGTCTCTGCTTTCATTGCTTTCATTGGAACTGTTCACAAGAATCACCTTGTAAATGCACCCTCTTTACTCACAGGCAGCAACTGAGTTTATGCAATGACTGTTAGGAAGAACTTGTATATGTATCTCGAAGTGCTGCTATTTGTCCAACTACTGAGATAGCCTGCTTTACCTTTTCCCTTGTACAGTTACATCTTTGCACAAAATAAATGAGGCTGCCAAAATAATCTACCTGGATTGTGCATCAAGGGATGCAAAACACCAACACTGTCAGAGGCCTCAGAGGCCCCAGCTTCAGCATAAGAGAGTCAGGACAGAATCAATTTCTCCAGAGAAATATTTTAATTCACGGGTTTTATTGTTCCATTTTTAAGCTCTGCAATGCGTAGTCCTACCGATTACAAGACTGACAGTTCTGGGGACTGTCTGAAGTCTCCCCAAAACACTGACATACGAAGTAGAGATGTAACCTCATGGCTCTGCAAAACATGTTGGAAAGCCCACTTGGAAAACTACATTGCAATGCCCAGTTGACACAAGGAGGCACCTCCATTTACCAGGCTGAGGTTTGTCCCACCACTGCCTTGTTCTCCAAGCTACATCTAACACAATCACATCCTTCTGCCTACTGCCTTTTCTCTGGGGCTCTTCAAGGTCTGTAGCTGAGAAGCAGGGTTTTCAGGCTGAACAAAGAGAGATA